GCGCCACCCCTGGTACTGTAAGTTTAAATGTAAATTGAGAACAGCGGATACATACAATCATTGAATGAAAACAGATTTGGGTACATTGCATAATTAAGAGCGAAATTATCATGTCACATCATTAACTGGGCCTTGACCTATATTATAACCTGACTACTGTACTAATTATAAAGTCAATCGTGACGTCATCACTGCAACTCCCAATGTTATTTGCCTATTCCCCACCGTCCACTAATTTTTCAATTAGTGGATTGTGGCTTGATTTTTTTTAGGTTCGTGTGCAAAAAAAAAAATTCCTCATTTTTTCGTCACCGTGGAGACATCGCGCACCGCAATGAAAATTGAATTGTAATTGAAAATTGCTTTCGTAAAACAGCTTAATTAATAAGGACCCAAAGAAAGTTACTTCAGATTCAATATTAAGTATGAACAAATAAAGAATTCATTGAATCAATGGACCCTCATAAACAAAACAAACTGAACGTTTATAGGAATATTCTAGACCTATTTTAAAGACTCCAGGAACAGATTTAGATGTAGGCCTACGTCCAGGCTGGAGGCCGCCGAGGCCTCCTCCTCCTAAAGCCATAGCTAGCCTAGTTATGAAATTATCGCACCATTTTTACCTGTCTGCATGCACCGATCAAAAAGGTCAGTCACTGTATTCTCTCTCAAATGCTGAAATGTTTATTTCTTTGACGAATGTCTATCAAAATAGCATTACAAACACGTTCTTTCTAAACACAATTACAATATTTATTCATCGTATTCGTACTGTTGTACTGCTGATGTGTAGTTAACACGTACGTATCTGGAGCACAGATCAGCATACGCACAGCTAAATGTAAAATGCGCACACAGTATACTGATCATATCACTATAGCAACCGATGACTGCTACACCTAGTTGGTTATCAAAAACTAAAATTAAAAGATGTTGATTGACTTATAAAGCAATTAGTAGAGCATGCATCATACACTAAAGAAAAATTATTATACTTTAATGCATTCAAAAATTTCCTTCGGGCCTTGAGGGCCTCAGGAAAATTTTTCAACGGTTAAATCTAACCTTCATATAATAATTTTCCTATAGTGTACTATGCAGAGCTCTACATTGCATATATAGTAGTATTAGGTAAGGATATTTTGCCGGTATATAACAAAAGGATGTCTACTGTTAACAGAGAATTTTTGTGAAGATTAGTGAGGGCGCACTTCAACTCTAACATTAGGAATGGCATATTCAAGCTATAAATAGACACATTCTTTTTTTTATATGTTTTTTAAAAGTGTTTGTTAAATTGTACGCAATAACTTGAATAAAAAATTGTTTTTGCATAGACAGGACATTTGTAATTGTCACAGATTGATGACCGATTTAACCATTGTATTGTGTTAAAACACCTACACAGTCAATAATAATAATCCATCATATATAGTTTACTTTATGACAGAATTTAATAAATTTATTCTTACATCAAATTATGTTTTCCTGAGTAGCTACCAAGAAAATTCAAATAAGTTGTTCATTTAATATTTAATTATTTTTCTGGTTTAGCATGAAACAGGTGATTCCATTATTTTCTTTTCAAGGAAATATTTCAAATTTCCATGACCTTGACTTTTCTTCCTAAAATTTAATCTAAGAATAAGATTTCCTGAACAATGTCTTTTTAAATAAATTGAAACCAATTTTCTTAATTCTAATTTGATATTGACTGATAAACTGAGAGTTGAATAAACTGTATGTTTTGTGAAAGGTTATATGACATACTCAATGCCCTTTAAACATCTAGTCAATATTTGCAGAATGTTTAATTATAGTTATGGTAAATTAATTAAACAGAATAATTACTATTTTGTTCAATTCTAATGCTTTTAAAGTATGTGTATGAAAGTGCATGAAAATACATTTGAGACCTAAAAGATACAGCTAAAAGAGAAATATTTTTTTTTCCCTTTTTTTTGCAGCTACCATTAAAAATTGATATTATAAAGCATCCTAAAGAAATAGATGGAAAGAGCACTGCAGTGCATGCTGGGTTAATCTCGCCAGATGATGTCACCATCTACAACTTTCCTTGTGTCCCGGACTTTGATCCATCTGAGAAGGTATAAAACTGTCAATTGAGTGAATGTTCAGTCCATCAATCAATCAATTCATCATTGACTTCATAAAAATAGAGCCAAGCTGTAGCTTTGTAGTTCAGACTCTTTTAAATTACCTTGTTGTTTCGTTTCATTTTAATTTCATTTATTTTGGATTCCTAAAAATGAACCAAATAACCATCTAGTAGGTCTCCTATTGAACTATCCATTCCACTACAAAATGATAAAATAAAAAGTTTCTTTCATTGATTTTTTTTTAATTTGTGAGCTATTTGGTATGGCTGAACAAAATAGCTTGCTCTACACTCATACGGCCCTAGGCTCAAATCTGTGGGTAAGTGTGTAGCGCACACCCCCTATAAACACTTGCATTCCCAGTCATCCCCCCCCCCCCAATTGAAAATGCTTGAAGCAAAAAGAAATCATGGTCAAGTATGTAGATAAATAATCATCTCATATCACCTTATTTTGCAAGCTAGCGCCCTCCTTACTTGCTCACTTGATCATCAAGTCTCCCACTTCACCTTCAAGGCCCCATCAGGCCCCCCCCCCTTCACCATTTAAAAACTCCTATATATGCCACTGCGAATAATTAAAATGTATGCAGTGACATTTCCATGATATAAGTGTTGTTGAGAAAGAAAAAAAACTATTGAAAAAATGAAAACGGGTTTAATATTTGCTGGGCTGTACCGTTTAAGAAACTGTTTGAACTACTGTACATCTGACGTCATTGTGCCCTGGATAAATATTGAACCTTGGGTGAATGTGTTTAGGTGTTGATTTCAATACCTGTTTCTTCATTGAATCATTTTTATTAGGAAGTAAACTATGATTTATAAGACAACACTTTTTTATACCTTGTTTAGCGAACCAGCCGCCCACAAATAATGATGATTTTGAATACAAACAAAATTTTAATTTTATGTTTGGCCAATAAGCTTACACAACACTACAAAAAAAAATGTAAACTTCAAAAATAATTAAAAGTATCATTATAATGCCGTCCGCTGCCCTGAAATTTCCAAAATAAAATATGTATATTTCTTCCTTAATTATATAAATTTAAAGCATTAATTTAGCAATCCCATTACTACACTGTTTACATTCACCAATAAAATTTTTATTTATTTTCTCCTGTCTGAATGTTTTTGGCAAATCCATTTGCTAAATAAGAAAACAAAATTTTTTTCATGTTTACTTTCTGCCCTCTTCTGACAATTCGTAAAAAAATAAGTTTGCTAAACAAGGTATTAAAGAACTCCTGCCTAACTGATAAATAAAACACTGAATTTCTGTTGGTTTTTTAACACACAGAATATTCGATAAACAGAGGTACTGTGAAGAAAACTCAATACTGTAATTAATGAAAAGCCAATAAACAAATTAAAAATATATATATAAATATTCTCCACACCACTTAACAGGTGCATATAAGATATTGTTTCTTTTTTTTTGTAGACACTTTATTTAATTATTATATAATATAATTTTTTAAAACTTTCCATAATCTACCTATTTGTAAAAACCGAAAGGTCCACTGATTAATCTCAGATAAGAAAGTATAATACATACTCCAAGTATTGAAATACACGCCATCGTGTTGGGATTCAATATTTCGACATTAATTATGTCATCATCAGGAATGATTTGTAGGGTGCTTAAAAACAATAAAAAATTTGTATTTTTGAAAAATGTAGGTAGTCCTCGTTTTTCCATCCAAAGAGGCTGTAAACCTTGATGATCTCTTCAAAGACCCAAAGTATGAAATGCAACGAGATGACAAGGCAGTGCCATTCACTCGCGTTGTTTTCATTGATAGTACATGGAACCAAAGTAACCAAATATTTAAAGATGAAAGGCTGAAAGGTAAATATTTTCAATAAGCTAACCCAGGCACTCACTGCGTCATACTACGGCCGTGCGACTGTTGTATAATGAATCCAACTGCACTCCATGTGAGCGCTAGATGACATGACGCCATCTGCTGAATGTCGGTGTCGGATCGTCATTGAAAGCAATCCGCTGCGCAGTGAGTGCCCAGCTTTATCTTTTTGTATTTATTATTATGAATGTCTAACTGAAATACCACAAAGTAGTTTGTTAAGCAACGCATGAATTTCACGTCGGCATTCGGCAATTGCCAACCATATTGCCGAGCCAGAATTGCCACAGGACGGCAATTTTTTGCCAACCTAGGCCTAGATTTCTTTGCTTTAAAAACTTTAATAGACAGAAAGAGGCCATAGCAGGAACTAAATTTTACGTACGTCGTCAAACCAAAGAAAGTGGTCACTTGTTGTTTTAAATAATAGACAACTCTGTCTAAAAGTTTTTTAAAGATCTAATTAAGCAAGAAATCACAACAGATAAAATACATTGGTTGAATTTATTTTAATGATATGTTTTTGAAATATACAACATGTGCCAGTAACAAGACTGCAACAGAAATTGCAGGATTTTGTATAATGCAATTTTTTAAAACTAAAATTTAAATATATTCATTTGTTATTATTGTTATTGTTCAATATTTTACTCAGAAGATCCTCACAACACATGACCAAGTACCTTTGAAAACAATTTACAACATATTGAAAGTTTGGTCACTTAACAGGAGGAACAAAATTTCTGTAAAAACCTTTAACATTTAGCATTTGAAACAATAACAGAATCCAAAAATGCCCAGTATCTCAAATATGTGAACAGTAGTTTTAAACAGTATTTTTTTTGTAAGATACTGGAACCAGAATGAATAAATCAGATAAAAATTCTAATCAACATTTCTTAATATCGTGTCATTAGTAAAGATAGCAAAAAAAATACATAGTATTATCTTCTTACTTTTGAATGTTTTAGGTTTACCTTGTGTGATGCTCAACAGCAGAGAGACGTGTTTCTGGCGGACACAAAAGGACAAACCCATCACTTACCTGGCAACCATTGAGGCCATATATTATTTCCTTGTTGATTACCACAATCTAACGGAAGAAGCCACTTATGATGGCCGCTACGATAATCTTTTGTACTTCTACAGTTTTATGTACAAAGTTGTTGAAAAAAGCAATATGGAGAAAAAGCAAGAAGGGATGGAAAATATAAGGAAACGAAAGAGGCAGGACTGGGAGGATAAAGTAAAAAATAAGAAAGCGGTTACTGGTGAAGTGGATGATGATAAGGAAAGTGAATGCAAGGAAAGTAATAATAGCAACAAAACCGCATTTACATCCTGAAATGCTTGTATGAAGTGGTAGACATCATGAGTCGATGTAACAATTTATACCATATTCCGACTAGCATCGCATTGTGATCAGTTGTAGCAATTGTGACACCCAATCGCAAACAATTGCAATTCACAATTGTGTGTGGAAGGGCAGCTAACCAATAGCAGTTGATAGGTAATCGATATCGCAATTGTTACCCTTTGCAATAGACCGAATTAGCGATCGAAGCTGTTCAGCTATAGTGGGTATTCGAACCAAAACAAACGCACGAAGATAGGCGATTTACACAGTAATTTGAGAAAATAGCCTTTACTAAAACGTCTCATACACGCTTTGTGTGTAAAGTTGAGTGCGATTTAAATTAACAGAAACCATTGTTACATGTTTATGAATGTAACGTCATCTTTTCTCTACGATTATAGAATAGGACTTTTAGGCTTTGTTTACAATTTTATACACACTCGGCCAAATTGTGATGACGTCATCTTTCGTCGCTAATTCGGTCTATTGGGTGCTACAATCTTTATTACTCCCGATTACCATGGAATCCGATGGCAACCGATCACAACGAATTCCATAGGCACCTATTGGCTGAGGTCAGTCAACATATGCCTACCCATGGGATACCTAGTACCATTTGACCTCCCCTTCCAATGTAAAGTTTTTTTGTGTCTGTTGATCTGAATGCTCTCGTAGGCTGTGATCGGGAGTAATCAGTTACGGATTACCACAGAATACATTGCAACCGGTCGGATCTGAGTGTAGTCTGAATAGGATATAAGTCTCATTTCTTCAAGGGGCTTACCAGAACAGTAGTCATTGCAATTAATAGACATGACATATTTTACAAAATAGCTACCATTTTTTTTCTATTGTTCATTAATATGAATAAAGCGGATCACCATATTACTGTACTTATGTATATACCATTTTATATGATACAAAATGTTACACAGACTTTTGAGCAATACCAAAGTTACTGACATTTTTACCCAAATCAATTTGAACATTGCTAAGTCCATACAGTTCATAGGCAGGCAGTAAATATTATGCCAACCACAAACAAATATAAGATCTTTGTTAGCAAGAAAGTCTACTTTTTAGAGCACATAATATCAGAGTAATTATTCATATTCATGAAACGATTTTAATACTTTATAAAATATGGATTATGATTGTGCTTAGATATACAGGTCTCCCTCCAATTAAAGACCACTTTTGGGCCCGGGGTTTCCATGGTCTTTAGCAGCTTTGGTCTCTAATTAGAATAATAAAATAAAAGACATCTTGTTAATATGGGACCACAGAAATTCATTCATTCATTCTATATTTAGCCAATGAAATAGCATACAATACAATGAAAGGAAATTTAACAAAAACTAAGACAATATATAACCTAAGTTGGCTAGGATTAACTATAGTGTAAAAAAACACTCTGGCTCTCAGGCCTGTTAGTCCGATCTTAGGATTTTTTAATATAGATATATACAGACAATGATTAAATTAAACAATAATGTAAGTAAAATCAATTGAAAAGCAAAGCATATAACATAAAGTAATATAAATAAAGTGATATGAAAGGTGACATGAAAATAAACAAATACAAATTAAAGTTAATCAAAACTTCATTTTAAAAAGGCAAGGCAGTTTAGAGGGATATATATTATTCAATGCTAAATAATTACCATTACAGAACAATTTGAAAATTAGAGAATGAGAAACAAAAAAAAAAAAAAAAAAAAAAAAAATAAAAAAAAAAAAAAAAAAAAAAAAAAAAAAAAAAAAAAAAAAAAAAAAGATAACCAAACAATATTCTACAGGTATAAAGAAAAATAAGGGCGGGCATATCCAATTTCAGCTGTAAATGTATAATTAGAACTATGGTCCTATGCCAATATTGTTTTAATACTGTACAGTATATAATTAAGCTTGAAAATGGGTAATTTCAGGAGAGAGGGGGAGAGAGAAAGTGAGAAAGAATGGTTAGGCTCATTATTCAGTAAATAAACAGTTAGATAAATAAACAATCAATATCAGAATATATAAGTTGCACAGTATCTTTAAACAAATTAATAATTAGGGTACTCTACCAGTCTTTACCTAAAACATAATTTAACAGAAACAAAATTAGGAGTATTTAACTAAGTTAAGTCTTAAAATTGATTACCTTATAAAATTTAATTGAAGTATGAACTAAATACTCAAGTTTATGAATAATGTTGAGGTAGAAAATTGATCTTTATAATTGGAAGTTGTTAAATTGATCTTTATAATTGGAAGTTGTTATTAATTGGAGTGAAACTTGTATTCTACACAGTAACTTCGAGCTCTTTGCCAACTTTAACATTGTACATTATCTCATGACCCCTAAAAGCTATTAAATCCTAAATTTAAAACGATTTTACTCGATTAAGAGTCATTTATTCTGTGGGTTATATTTTGCATTACACTATCCCATGGCAGCACTTACAAATAATTGCAGTGGTGCTTCCCTTTGTTACACAAACTTATTTGACCTTTACAACTTGGCCTCGTAGCTCAGTTGGTAGAGTATCTGAGCAGTAATCGGGAGGTCGGGTTCAACTCCTGATGGGGGAAATATGTTTTTTTCTAAAAATATATCATTATTTTATCTTGTATGCCTCTCTAAATTATTACAACATTTAGTATTATTTTATTTGTGATAAATCGATTGTTTCTTAGTGTCCCGATTTATTTAGCAATTAAAATAGTATATTTGCCAAAGTTTCCTTGTTTAATTTTTATAATACTTTCATAGCGCTTGAGACTCATGTAGCCCACTGTAGGCTAGTGTAAGAGTAAAGGTTTACGGCCTAGTTTTCCTGGTAGACGAAATTGAACTGTATGATTGGCATTTAAAATAATGTGGTTTTAATATTTACCTTCCTTCATCGTGACACTTTATCAGACTTTTGCAGCAAAGATGAAATAAGAAATGTGATTGGCCAATACTTTTGTCTACGCTTTGTGAATAAGCAGAAAAGTTTACTTTCAAGAAATTTCTTGGTGATATTGAGTACTATACAATTATTTTGATTGATTGAACTAAATGACGTAATAAGCAGGAAAGTTTACTTTCAAGAAATTTCTTGGTGATATTAAGTACTATACAATTATTTTGATTGATTGAACTAAACGATGTAATAATAACGTTCTTAAAGCCAGGTGGTCGAACCTATGCGTGTTACAACGCCGCGGCGCAGTTGTTAGTTGGAAGGTGAAATAACGTAAAATCAAAATAAGATATGAATTGGAGGGTTTTTCCTCCAGAATGTTCTTACTGCATATTATCGTCCTTTGAATTTACTGTCTATCTTAAATGAATCATTTGAGGGCTGGCACACCTGACCCGTTTCAGACGATCATTTATCTCGAATTTCCCGTGTTCTCACTAGGTCGCCGCCATTTTTTCGAAACTACATAAAACCTACATTTAGTGGTTTATGATTAATCGTATAAGAAACAATAGAGACACTGTATCGGGACGCCATCTCGGATACAAGTCCGTTTCTGTCTCATTCTCTTTGATCTCCATTGACCTCATGGAGCTGACCTTTGTGAACAGGTGTATCCATTTTCAGGATGTATGGCCAGGTGATGTTGGCCTGTGTAGATTTTCCTTCAGTCTCCGTTTAGGAAAACTGCCGGTATTAAGGCAGACAGTCGAAACAGCTGATCAACAGTTGTCTGTAGAATGAGTCTTGTAAAATCGAAGAATAAAATAAATCTAAACGCACTCGCTTATGTTATACAACACATGGAAACATATGTTGACATTATATGGACCTATGTAATAACACTAATTTCCTTTTATGTTTTTAATTAGCTTTTTTTTTATCTCAAAAAATAATTTAAGACAATTAAAGCGTACCACGCATTCGAGAATTACGGTAAAGTATAAACGAAATTAGGGTCCTTATAGGACTAAAGTACTGTATTACAAAAACTACTTGCAAATGTAAACATGACGTACAATAACGAAACAAAGACACGAAAGAGTTATTAAAGCAATAAAAAAAATTACATAGGGCCTAATGGATAGTGTAAATAATCACAATAATAAATAAAATAATAAATTCAGACTGTTGTTGCTTTATGTAGGGATCTGTATATGGCAAAGAGTAGGCCTATGATAAAATTGATACTGTGAAGCTATATAAATAGGCCTAATATTGTAATCATTTTAATTCACCATTAAATGTAGGTCAATAAACGCTTACAAATTTAAAGGTACGCCTGCAAAATATTATGATGCTATTATTATTATTCAATTACTTTGTTTATTATACGGGCATATTCAACTTTTACTTTTGGGGAAAACATACCTACATCCAAATATTGCAGAAAAAATATGAAAGTCACATGTTTTTAGAATTTTAAAAGATAAACCAATATATAAAGCAGAGGCTCCGTTTTTGGATCCACATCAACTGGTTTTAATACTTATATATACAATACAATATCTTGCATTGTTGAAATATTGTATTAAGTTGATTACATTAATTTTGAGACTGAAAATGATTTCGAGCAATATACTGACTTAGCATAACCTTTACTTACAACATAATAATTGTTATATACTGTATTGATATTAGAATTCCCTATTCATTTACGTCCGTGTATCGTACATGTTAGTGATGTGTTATGTTTATGTTAATTTGCCGCTTAATACTAAAAAAACAGTGTGGCGAATCTTTGATGTGTGCCGAAATAAATAAATCAAATGTAAAAACACCGATAACTTGGCACGGTACCTTTTTAACGGAGTATGGAACATTGACAAATTCTATTTGATATTTCATAATGCTATTTTAGGCCCTATTTATTTTGACCAATCAGCATTACCGATTGTCGGCGATAGCGTGTAGCGATTGTATGGAAACCAAGCTTTACAAAAGTCATCATTTTAATGTCGATTTTGCGCATGACCTATACCGAAAGATGGAATGCCCAGGCCTACTTAACTCCTTGAAGAATTATTACAATATTACTATTCTGTTGCTCATTCGCATTTGAAAATACCAGTAACTCACTTGGGAATGTATAACTTTTGTTAGAATTCGTAAGAATCGAGCCTAACGGTTAAGTGGCCGAATTAGCAAAAATGTGTTTATTGTTTTATATTGAAATTGGTTTTTTTTTTAATTGTTTTGTGTTATTGGTATCTATATTTTTGTAATCTTGTTCAGAAACCAAATGATCAATACATAAATACTAATAAAGTTAATATGTTTGCGGTTAGAACCCGTTCATACAGTCAAGTTCAACGCCAATAATAGGCCTAGTTGATATATTTTAGTGTTTGTATGACTGTCTTGTACGATGGGTGAACAAAATATAATTTATGTTTGTTTAAATCAGCATTGTTAGGTAATGAACTTAAATTCATTCTTACAATAATGACAAGTGATTTTTTCTATGAGTGCTTTTGTTTAGTGCCGTTCGCGAAGGATTCGGTAACAATTTCGTTCAAGTTCAATCATGGCGGTATTAAAGAGTCTATCATAGTACCTCCATAGTTTAATAGAATATCTGATCAACTCCTCATCACCTATCGTAATTTTGAGTCTCAAGAGCCTCTTTATTGTCGGCAACAACAAAAGACAGGTTATCTGGGGAAATATATAAAACTAAATATGAGAGTACAATCGGGTGGACCAGGTGCTGGTGGTCACGATAGACGTTCATTGTCAACATGGTATCGTGTAGTACTCGTTTACAATTGGTTGTAAATCGCAACTCGGGAATCAACAAACATATGTTTTCTCATCAATGTTGTAGTCTAATAAATTACGCTTGGTCTGAAGAACTATAAAACCTAAATCCTTTCCGAGCCACTGGGGCTCATAAGTCTGGAGCTTATCCCCAGTTTCTGTAGTGTGAAGCGGATGATAGTTGAACTCCCCCTGGACGGGACACTAGTCCATCGCAGGTTAGTCCCCAGCAGTTTGCTGGTACCCATTGATACAGCTGGGTGGACTGAAGCAATGTAGCTATTTAGTGCCTTGCCTAAGGACACAAGCGAATATGCACAGCGGTGACTGAAGAACTATAGCTTCATGAAAAAACAACTGATGTGTGCGAGCGGTTATAATCAGTAATACTGTTGTCCAATCAATCCAATCCAATCAGAACATTTGTCAAACCTCAATTTCGAAAACCGCCCCCCCCCCCCCCCCCCCCCCCCCTCCGACCCACCTACCAACCTCCCTGCTGAAATAATTTTCTTATCTGTGTGGTGTGTTTTAATGCGTGAGCATGAAGTAATTTAAGCTATTAGTAGTAGCAATGAATCTTTGCGCTTAGCCAATATTGTGGTATCTTCAACAGCATATAAACTTACGTAAACTGTGTATTTAGGGGACATGCGCGTATTCCTGGCTATTAAATAACTGGTGAGTTGTTAAGTTTGGTTTCAACTCAGGAATGGTCCATTGAATCTAAAGGCAAATAAAATCTATAACTACGATGCTGCCGTTCGAAATTCTACCGTACGTTTTGCAGATACGGTAGTTTCGTTAAGCCGGACACTCACTGCGTCGTACGACGAATCCACATTTGCTTCCGGCGAGCGATAGACGACGCAATGCCATCTGCTGATTGTCAGTGGCATTCTGAACGGATCCTCTTTAAAAAGACGATCCGTTGGGTCCGTTCTTTGTCGCGTTGCCGTCGCACGCAGTGAGTAACCGGCTTTATACCCGGAAGTGCTGCGCAGCCGGGACTTTTGGTCTACTTAGGGGCTCTAGTGTGCAGTGGTAGGAAGAAGTGGGCTGCAGAGGAAGCTATGGTCTTTTAAACCGATTATGGGGGTGGGGGGTCTAGTACAAATTTACTCTTTTTTCACTTTAGTGTCAAAGGTTTACGAGGGTATAGGTTTAACCATGTCATACGCAGAATTTCATGTGTAAAATAGACATGGGTTACGATTTGACCACTCTTGGATATGTAGGGTACAGGTTAGGGTTTTCGGTTTTAAACGCTTTTCAATTTCATGCGTGCTCAACGAACAAGGCGTTAGTGTCGAACGATAAATCAGGAAAATGAAATGGGACATTTATCGGGTAACAGACACAATTCGGCAGTTTTACTGCAGAAAATGATACCAGAACCGTGCGACATGTTGCCCGCTGTATCCGTATTTTTCCATAATGAAACATTATCTCTACGTTGTCTCCATTAATCGACCGTAAAATGTACACTTACTCAGTTATCATAATGATATTTAAATTTGACAACGTCTTTCAGAAGTTCTGGAAGTAGGGCTAGAGGTTGCTATTTTCTTGTCCAGTATATTCGTATTACTAATTCTGATAACAAAATAATACGGTATCTATGTTTTAATTGACTATTAACATTGTTTTCTCTCGACTATACGGTAATAATTAATTTTTGCCTTGTTGCTCTTTTTTATTTTACTGATTTAATTTTTCTGTACTTTTGTGTAATGTATATTTTTTGTGTTTTATATAAAATTTTAACGATATTATTATATTGTAATTACTGGATGGAAGAGAAACCAGGGTTCATCCTGACTATCACACAGGTGGAGACCAAGAGGCCGATTTAGAGCTTCGTACTACTGTACCATCTTACAATGGTGACTAGAGTGTGGGGTCAGGAGCGAAACATAACAACTCCAATATCTGCGTTTACATTAGAATATGAGAAAGTAAATCAAGCTGTCAAAGGCGTATAAACTATGTGTGAAAGTATACACTTTGTGCGATAAGAAGTACCGTACTATAGGAATCGAACCATAAAAGGTTCAACACTCACGAAAAAATAGGCCCCATGGTTCAAATCCCAATTGGGGCGATTTTTTTACGCTCGCAGACTCCTCTTTTTACCGTATAAAATTGAGATATATTCATCAAGCATTACCGCAAAAGTTTAGAACGCCTGCTCTATACTCCACTGATGATTAATGGATGAATAAATTTGTTTAGGGTAGTCGGAAATCCTGCCGTTTGTTGAGAATCAAACGAAATAAGGCAATGAGTTGGGTTGCAATGGTAAAGGCAATTTATTCATCTTCTTTTTTTTTTATTGACATCGCCTAAAAACAAACTTGTACCCTAATAGCATATTCCAACCAATGAAATGTTTGTTCTGATAAAGTGATCAATATCACTATGACGTCAAGATTTTTGCCTCGTCAGACAATTGGTCCGTCGGGCTGCATTTTGACAGGACCACCTTTATACCATATACATAACGTATACCGCAAACGGCAGTTCAATTGACTGTTTATCTTTCATCAGCTCCTCCTACCAATAGTGAATGTTGTTTTTTTACTACTTATATAAAGAATCCGGCCATAATGTTTTACCTTGATTTTCGATATTCGACTTGTTAAGCTAAGTGTGGTGTGTTGTAGTGTTAAATGATATTTTGTATTCGACATTTAAATTAATATTTTCACAGGAAAACTGGTAAGTAAACTTTCTTTTCGATAAAAACTATTTTCATCATTATTAAAGTTAAAAAAATAAACAGGTTTCCGTTTAGAAATAATTTCCAGTGTGCGAAGTTAAATTCTCTCATTATCAAAATTTGACTATGTTCGCGATCTATTGGGCAAACAGAGCAGCATTACGGAGTCGAAATTGTAACAAATTGTGTCACATTGACTCTAACAAGACCGACGGGTTTCCAAGGCAAAGAAAGAGACGGGGCTTCCAGTACCTGAAGGGTCCAGTAATAATAATGATTGTGTTGTGCTCAAGAGAACATTAAATCATTTTGCCTCAAGAGAACTTAAGGTTTATGATAGTTGTTTTTTTTAATACAATAAAGAACTGCAATCACAAAACTTTGGATAGATTAGTATTTTTTAAACATATTTTTCATTTAATAAAAAAAACCCAGAAAATAGAACTTCTAATCACCCCAATGAATACTAATGAGTATACCAATAAACCAATATAAACCATATACCAATAAGCAGTTCCACCATGCATGATTGTTATTCTGCATTCTCATTCAGAGCCTACCACCTGACGATTGATGAATTACCTCATGAAACACAGTCTGTAGTAGGCCTAATAATAATAATAATAATAATAATAATAATAATAATAATAATAATAATAATAATAATAATAATAATAATAATAATAATAATAAGATTTATAAAGCGCACAAACCCACTGCAGTAGTGCTCAAGGCGCTACGAAGGAAAAAAAAATTGCAGGGGTGGGCATAAAAATCGGTTGGAGGGCCAAAGTGAATTTCTGATTTAACACCGAGGGCCGCACCCAAAATTTGATCTTTCCAGTGCGCTTCTAAAAACCTCAAAGCACTGCTTTAACACCACTTCATTCTCAGTTTTAATATTAATTTTTACATATGATCGGTGTCAGGCCGTAAAAAGGTGTTTTCTAGCCAATGTTGCTTGGCGGGCCGCATACATAGGGTTTTTAATCCATATCCGCGGGCCGCAAAAAAAAAATCGCTGTCGGGCAGCACCTTTCCCACCTGTGCTGTAGTGCAATAAAATGTCGAATTTGCAACCAAGAGTCGCCATCTAGTATTGATTACACACACACACACACCCACAACACCCCCCATATATATATATATACATACATACATATATATATATATATATTATATATATATATATGTATATATCTGTATATTAATAAATAGGTCTACTCTTGTTTATTTCACAATTTTTTTTTCATTTTTAATTATATTTTATTTATTATATCCTAATTGTATTTACTGTATTATTGTGAAATGAAAATTTATCATTACCTTTATTATTATTACTTTCAATTATTATTACTTTCAATTATGGCATTACATTTGTTACAATCAAACTACAAATGTGAGCATTAAAATCATGTTTAAAAAGCCCTTTACAGGTCATATGGTTTTACCAACCACTCCCCTTCCCCCTTTGTTGGCCAAAGTCTACCACTCGAGTATATAATACAATAATTTTAGGGGTAAGACTTTCTTGTGTGACTAAAAGTAGAGAAAGTTAAATAAGCCTTTTGTCTGTTTGCAGTTAATTGACCCATCTCAAAGTTGATTGACCTTTAGGCCTATAGGAATATTGTGAAATGAAAAACCAAGAAATATAGAAATTCTCGTTGCAATTTTTAATTTTCAAAACCTTAGCTTTTGTGGAATAATAAGATCAAAATGTAATGAAAATAAGGACCAAACCTACAATTCAGGTTAATTTCGTTTCGTTGTTATTCAAGGACTGTATATAAGCCAGCAAACTACTGTACTGCGATTACGAAATTTCAGCACTCTTCTACGTATACGCCTACACGTAACTTAGAGATGGATTAAAGTGCCGTATGGTTTAGCCAAACCACTCATTATCCTTTCCCAAGTAGCAAATAAACGACTGATTGTCCCTACAACTGGTGTTCATTCATCAACAACTAGTGGCCTGTTTAAAATACAATTTCATTCATCCCAATGGGACGTTTGGTATAGCTCTTGATGGACACGGTAATTCGGTGGACACACACAGCCGGTGTCGATGTTCTTGTGGGCTACATCACTCTAAACGATTTACTTACGTTAATCGAATTTCAAACGAGAATAACTAAGCTAAGAAAGTCTTCATGTTCTATATCAAATGTTTGTTTGAAGTAACTTTAATTGAAATCAGTAGTTTCGTAACAATTACCCATTATGAAGTCAGTTCAGTCTCGAGTAGGACAGGCACACAGATTAGCCACTGGGTTTCTTTTTATTTTTATTATCTTTACCGTATCGTCCTTGTCATCATCATCAAAATCAAGTCATGAAAGTATTTAATAAAAGTTAAACCATAGAGCAAAAAATGGTTAAACCAAACAACGACGAAAGAAAACCGGAACAAAAGCTCGCCCGTGACAAACAACAGTAGGCCTAAAAACAAATTGCTTTAAAAGTTAAGAAATAAGTTATAGTTTGATAACAAAAAAATAAATAAAAAAATAAATCATAATCATAATAATACTAATATTATTACTCTCATTAATATTATTATATTATTACTATCATGTATTATTATCTATAGTGTATTATTATTATTATGCTAATATTTATGAAACTTTTAAGCTGTCCTTGTAGAACATAATGGAGTCAAGGTATTGCTCGTTCGTGCTCTTCTTGTCTGTGTTGATGGCAGTACTGCTTACAACCGAGGCCATTCTTGGAGTAAGTATGAAGCTGCATTCACATTTGATCCGAACCGAATTTCTGACAAGTTTCCGAAGCGCTGACTGGCAGCGTCCATATTCGTACACACTGATTCGATTTGCTGATCGGTTCGGTATAAGCTTTCCGATCCAAAAAAAAAAATGATTTGGTGTGAATACACCTTAAGCCTATCTATATTTCTGCCATCTACACATAAAATTTTCCGAGATCAGCGCAAAACTGTGTACAATGGGTGCCGCGCGGTCCGTGTAGTATTAAATTTCATCTATATTATAAATATTTCATATATATTATAAATATATATAGGGCCTATCTTTATTTGGAAACGACACTTTTACAACAATGGCACTGGTACTTAACAAAGAAAAACAAAGCCAAGAAAATCAAAACTTAACACATTGAGCAAATGGAAAAAAAAAACAGAGAAAACTAAAGGGTATGCTTATGTTTAAAAACCTTCCGAAGGCAGCTGCCTTCATCCTTCAACCCATGCAATGAGTCACAAAACCCATCACTCATTTTTAGACTGCCTCCCCCGCCCGAACCACCCTAATTTTAAAAATTCAACATGAAGAGTGGGCGGGTCCACATATTTAGTTCTCTGACTAGTAGACACAAATTGGCTTTTTATGTATGCAACGGGTCTAGGCCCATTGCCATCTTGCCCGTTGTCACCCGGCCTTTTGCCACCCGGCCTATTGCCCCGGCATTTTGCCACCCGACCATTTGCCACCCAGCCCGTTACCACCTAGGCCCGTTGCCACCCGGTCTTTTGTCACCCGGCCCGTTGCCACCCTAGGCACGTTGCCACCCGGCCTGTCGCCACCCTAGGCCCATTGCCACCTGGCCTTTTGCCACCCGGCCCGTTGCCACCCACAATTGTACAGATAGCATTTTATTCTCAGGAATTTCACTCTCGAGGCCTTCTTTGCCACAATATGTGCACGGAAGGATGAATATGGATTGGTTACTTTGATAAGTTAATTTTATAATTTAAACATACAATTCGTTGATGTAAAATAGGCGTGAGGCAGTCCTAATTAGCGTATGATGTCTTTAATAGATGTATATGGTATGCATATATGTATGTAATTATGCCTGTAGTTTGTATGTATGTATTTATTTTGTCTGCGAGTAAGCCCTATATTTAGTTAGGTGTGTGATTAATAAACCGTATTATTTTTTATTATATCTTTGGTTCGCTCATTTTCTGATGTACGTGAGTATAGTATTTTTCTTTTACAATTTTTATTCAATTAAAATAGGCTACATGAAGTGTTATTAGGCCCTAATTGAACGATGCTCCATCATCGTTCAAAATTTGGTCAGTTGGACATTTCCCTAAATGAAGGCTACGCAATGTAATTAGGTGTGAATACCTAAATATATACTGAACAATAGTCCTTGTCACGGTATAAACAACTGGAGGATTAGTTTGCTCAGATCGTAAATGTGTATACTGTTACAGTATTTTTTGTAGTATTAGATTAATTAAATGTTTGTAAACACACAAATGCCAGTGGTAAATTCAATAAATAAATATTATTGTCATGTGTTTTTTAATTTGTGAAAATATAATAAAACTGGACACTACAATATTGCCTTCTTTATACGGATTGAATAAAAGTATACTGTATATTAATAAAGCAGTAAACGAAATTTATTAATACAATTTCTACTCCAGTATTAGTTAGGACTAACTCACCATTCAAATATAAAGTTATAAAAGTATATGCATCCACATTTACAAATCTGTGTAAGAAACAACCCAGCATAATGTAAATATTCGCTTTTTACCCAAAGGTGGCAAAAGGCCGGGTGGCAACGGGCCTAGGTGGCAACAGACCTAGGGTAGCAAAAGGCCAGGTGGTATCGGACCGGGTGGCAAAAGGCCGGGTGGCAACGGGTCTGGGTGGTAAGTGGCCGGGTGGTAAAAGGCCGGGTTGCAATGGGCCAGGGTGGCAAAAGGTCGGGTGGCAGAAGGCCAGGTGGCAAAAGGACGGGTGGCAACGAGCCGGGTGACAAAAGGCCGAGTGGTAACGGGCCAGGGTGGCAACGGGCCGGAATATCATTGTCGAACCAGAGTACCCGTTGGATAATTTAACCACTCTGACGAAGCAATGTTTGTTTCCCGTTATTTTAAAAACATTCCATATGCTTTATATTTTACAATACTCTAATTAACAAGGATGATTTTACTTAGTAGCATACCGTAAAACCTCGAATAGAAGCCATATGCTTAATTTTTAGGACCCTTTGGATGGGCATCTTTTCGAGATGGACTTCTTTTAACGATGATTTTTGCAGACTAAAGAGGGTGCTTCTTTTCAAAATGAATGCTGTTAATATTTGGAATTGCTACTACGAAACCGTATAAGACATTTTTCAATCATGGAATTCGAAATTCTGTTACACAAAATACGAACATTATAGACCTATATTTTTTTCAATTAAGCCTATATGTCGAAACATGCCGATCTGTTATACAACTAACTATATGCATATAAATCATATTATAATAACAATCAAGATTTTTATTTAATTTTTAACCATTCAAATAACAAATAATAGGCCTAAACATATGTACAATTTATTAAAAGTTTGTACATTTTCTAACAGTCTTATTACATAATTAATTATATTAACAATTTCAATCTTCTAATGAATTTATATACCTGGAGTTTACTTCAACGAGCCCTCCATTAAACTGTTTCTACAGATTGAATTGAACGCATGCACAAAATCCTGTTGACCAAACCCCATCCGTTTTGATTATAATTGTGCGGGAATTATTTTAACCATGCTATAATAATAATACAGTATATTGATTACTGACACGTTATCATATCCTAATCATCATAGATATTAACGTCAGTCGGAAAGCAAGTACTATTTCGAAAAGAAGCCTACTATCTTGATTAGAAGCACATGGTTTTCTTTTCGAGATGTGCTTCCTTTCGAGATTTACTTTTGTAACCTGTGCAAATTAAAGACTTTTCGAGATGAGATTCTTCTCAAGGTTTTACGGTACTGTGTAGTGAGCAAAAATATCGTTATTGTTGTTATGTTGTTATTGTTGCTGATATTATCATTACTATTTTTCACTCTAATTTAATTATTTTCAGTCAAGCAGAAGAAGGCGCTCGTCGTCGAGTTTTTCAAAGCCTCGTAAGGATGAAGTAGCGGAATTAGAAGTTAAAAAAAGACGCAGTGGTCCTACATTAAAGGAATCACTTGAAAGCGTAATTGGGAAAGAAAAGTCCGGATCCCAGGTACTTTATGAAGGCGGTCTTCCAGGAGAAACCGGTGGTCAATCAAAATAACGATTGCTCAGATATTCTCTGTTTTCTGACATTCCATTGATCAGTAGTTGTGGTATAATCACGAAGATAATATTTAGGAATTACTGATTCCTTATGTTTTTAAATATTGCTCTAAAGTTAATTCGTAAATCGCAAGAAGAGAACGTGCCGAACAATGCAAAATTGGTGTTTATTGCAGCACGTATAGCCTTGATCCACTTGTTATGCGTTCGAAAAAAAAAATAATCAGTCATATTTTGAGATTTATTGTAATGTCACGTGGCACTTAGAGTAGCACGAAGAAGAGTTAAACACAGGAACTGCCGCTTTAAATGTTATGATGAATTTAACGAATGCTGTGAAGAAATATTTGTTTTCACATTTCAAACTCTCATTCAGAACTATTGTCACTTGCCTATTTCTGTGACATATTGATACATAAATTATTACCTAGGGCCTAAAGCACTGTCGATATTATTCTCTTTGATAAAAAGCTGTGGTATGCCCGTATATAGACATGATGTGCCAACATATGGTCTTGATGTGATGTAATCATGACCATGTTTTAGGCATGTCACTTGTTTTTGTCAAAAAAAAAAAGTTGATAGTCTGGACAGGGGTTTACTTTTAATAATAGCCATCTGTTGACAATTAAACAGTGAGTTAAAAAGTATAAATATTATAGCCTTTTACACAAGATCTCGAAATAATATACTCGCATTATGTCTTTGTGCGCGAAATAATTATCTACATTATGTGTTTGTGAAAGCACGAACTATGACCGCTTTGCAGTGATTTTTTAAAAAATATTTGCTTTTGGGTTTCAACGTGCCAGCAAATCCAAATAATTATATAAATTAAATCAAGTAAACTAAGGCTATCAAATGCAGCGTAACTAATAACAATTAGGCCTATGTAACTTGACTGTTGAATAATTAATTATCTATTTATAAGTATTTTTTTTTAAATATAATTTTAATTTAAGTGTCTTTCTTTTGTAAACTTTAATTTGTTTATAGTTCTTGTACCACTTGTTTTTGACGCACCTTCACTGAAAAGGTGTGTTCGTAATAAATTATTATAGTATTTTTATATAATATTGTATGAGTAGTTAAGTGTTTCTTTGCCAAACTGTTAGTGGCTATAATTAGCTGTTGGTTTGGTTACAGATAAATGAAATGAATTATGGAAATAAATGTTGTTGTTAAAGAATTATTTCAGCATCATGTGTCTTCGTGTCTTGAGGAGTAATGTGATTGTCATGATTTGATTTGAAGAGCGAGAGAATGTGCTATGAGAGAAGGGACTGTCCCTGTAATGCGAGAATCGAAAAATCTGCACGTTTAGAAAATTTTTTTCTACATTTTACGATTTTTGTACACATGTTTCCATCTGTCGGTTTGTTTATTTTTTTTAAACCTTTGTTTATATCTTATTTTAATAGGCCTAGTATAGATTTTCAGCCAGTTTATAGAAAAAGTATTGGAACGGTTTTATTAATGTTTCTATTGGCGAGGAAAATACACCGGTAGCTCAATTAAATATATAATATATTCAAAAACTGATTCTTCTTTTTATTAAGATTTTTTAAGTCAACAAAGAGAGTTTATGTTTCAGCTGATCAAAATAATAGCAATACTTACATTGTGATAATGAAACATTGCTATATTTATTTTGTATGGTGGATCCCAAACGAAATTCTTTCATCTAAGGGTCAAAATGGCCGATTTTATGCAAAATTATCAATTTTTGGGGAAAAAAACTCTGTAATTCGGTTAGTATTAGTCATACACAGTTCATTTTGGTACCATACTTTTCGGAAGACTCATGTTTCTTTTCGCTAAAAGTTATTACCAAAAACACACGTTTTTGGCCAAAAAACATGTTTTTAAATAATGTTCCTATTTTCAGAGCCATCGAATGTTTCCACTTATTCAATGGTGACAAATGAAAACTAAAATGACAATATAACAAATAATAAATATTTAAAAAGAAATTCTAACTAATAAGTTATGCATAAATATATAGGCCTAATTAAAAAAAAAAAGCCGGTTTTGGTAAAATTTTGAAAAAATCCGGAAAACTCGGTAACTCTGTTAATATTTGTACAGGAGAGTTGAATTTGGTCTCATATTACTCAGAAACAGTATATTTATATTAGCTGTAATGAAAAATTTTCGCGCACGCAGCGCTATGCAAATGAACCAAGATCAAAGCTGCCGCAGCGCGTAAAGAACGTTTTGCGCGATGCCTTTGAAGTCCCATGTGTTCCCCGCCATCAATTTTTTAGCAGGCATAATTTACCAAAAAAATTAAACATGGCGAAATGTAGAGTACCTTCTTTTCTCGATGCGCACTACATACAATCAATCACTATGGCTGCGCAATCGTTTCCATTTTGAAGTTGATACATTTATCTCTCATGAAATATCAAACATATTAATATTTTCCACAAAAAAAAGTTTCGAATTTAATTGAACATTTACATGACCTTTAAAAGTGTAGTATATTTCAACTTCAATTTTGAAACTCGAGCGTTGCGGTGTATGGGTGTAATGTACACGATTTTAATTATTTTTAATATTTGAATAAGATGCTCTACTTGGCCTCTTTTTGGCTACGACAGTTTAATAATTTGTCATTATCAATACTAATTATCATTAATGAAATAATATTCAGTCAGAGGGCTTATTTATGGTAATAATATGTATACTAAGCCTGAAGGTGGCGCTTTTCTACGGCAGCCATCTTGGATGGTACACATACACAACTCTGCATTGCTCCGCCATCCTGTCAGCACTCTAGTTGTTTAATAGCTCTATGTGTGTTCCCCGCTTTTGGGTCGCGCGCGGGCGTATTACCCTATAATTCACATTTTTCGTTAGCAACAACTTGGCAACGACATGCATTTATACGCTTCAGCAGAGCATAGTTGTGCAATAAAACGTTTGATTTTAACCATTAAATATCTTTATAATGAACAATGTTCCCCTGATTAGATTTTTTCGGGCTTTTGGTATGTTATTATTTGTATATTTCAGGAACGAATTCCGTAAAATATTTGTGTTAAAATTACTTCTGTGTTCATTATATTTTTTTCTAAAACTTGACTGGTTCGACTATAAAGCTAAGTCAGCGTAAAACTGAAAAATACTCAGATTTTGGATTCATTTTTCGAATAGTTAACCCTCTAATCCTTAATCATTTATTAATTAATATCTGTTAAAATTAGAATTGGCGAATTTTGGCCAATTTATGAAAATTGAAGTTGAAATATACTATACTTTTATAGGTCATGTAAATGTTCCATTAAATTCGAAACTTTTCTTGGAGGAAAATATAATATGTTTGATATTTTATGAGAGATAAATGTATCAGCTTAAAAATAAAAAAGATTGCGCAGCCATAGTGATTGACAGTATGTAGTGCGCATTGAGTAAAGAAGGTGCTCTCCATTTCGTCATATTCAATTTTTTGGTCAACTATGCCTGCTGAAAATTTGATGGCGGGGAACACATGGGACTTCAAAGGCATCGCGCAAACGTTCTTTACGCGCTGCGGCAACTTTGATCTTGGTCATTTGCATAGCGCTGCGTGCGCGTAGCTTTGCCGAGTGGTTAAACCATGGAAGTATTATTGAGGAGGCTGTAGATTTCCCTACCCCAAATTGGTTGGCAATAGCTCTAAAGGACATGCCAGAGGAGAGCCGATATAAAGTAATCGCCAGTCGATGTTGAGCCATCAATGCTTTCTCATGTTTGCACACTGTTTTCCAATATGCGGCTGCAGTTCACGAACAAGATATGAGAATGTCTCCCGATTCATCCTAAAATAGATGCATAAATAATATAAATTGCTACTAAATTATTCGAAATAAAAAAAAAACATGTACGACATCAATCAGGCACATTTATTTTTGACATATTATTATTAAATTAGATTTCAATTTCAGTATTATACGGTAATGCTCTAATAAAGGGCGAGGCATTGGCCTCTGTACCTAGTCCTAGCTTCCTAGATTGTCTACTTTATTGCCGACGAGGAGGGGGCAACGTGCATAAGCAAATAAGGTCAACAAGGAATTATCATGATGTATATGCGTATAGGCCAGAATAAAGAAAGGAGGGTACTGTATGCGAACCGGGTAGGCTAGGCTAGGCCTAGCTCTGAACTCGGCTAAACAAAACTTAAAATAAGTTAAATTAATATTTTACCTGAAATTATCAAGCCAATCGTCGTCATCCCATTTTTTCAATAATGTTTTTTCCCACCAATCCCGGTCTTTGTTATTTTTAACCCAGAATCTACGAGTTTTGGGCCGTCCGCGTCTGTGGGTATGGAGGAGGGCTTCTCCTTCTGCGAGTAAACGCTCCTGCTCCGTTGCGTATCTAGCCTGGCTCAATTTAAACTGGTGAAGGATGTCTAAACGTCGCCTTCTACATACTACAACTATATTTAATAGACCAAAAATTAATGATAACTGAACGTTATCAAAAATATTGAAATCTATATCAAGCATCGGTAAAATAAGTGGTAACATGGGCAGAATATTCATCATGCATCTGTTTCATCAACCTCGAAATTTTGGTTTCAAATTCTCGCGCGAATGATCTATCGGTTGACTTCCGATTGAGTGACCTTTAAAATGACGTCATTTTCTTGGTATCCGGATCGCGATTTTTTTTCCGTACGAAACATTTACATGAAACTCCACTCGGGCCGTCTCGGCTGAATCGACCCGAAAATCTCATTGCAGATTCAGGAGGTCAAAAGGTCATCAACAGATAAACGTCTACAAAACAACTTCTAAGAGAACGTCGCTGTCTAATTCTTAAAACTAGAAATTGCAAATTGCAAGTGAAGTGCTGCGAAGTACAACTGCATAAAATGTTCTTTGAATAAAATTATTTATGCGAGTCAAGTGAAAATAATGAATAATAAAAATATAACAAATAATATGAGCACGACCCATTGTCTATATATTATTAGAACAGCGTTGGTACAATAGTGTTTTGCTGCAGTGACATCTCTCTGCTGGCGATGGCTCGCTGCTGCTGGCGATGACTCCTGCTGGCGAATCGATCTGCGCATGTGTATAAAATGGTATTTATTTCCGCAAACACTATGCCAGTCTACAACAACAAGCGTCGCCTAAATGTAATAATTAGCACGTTGAAATAGGCTAGTAAATAAGTTTAACTGGGTTCGTAAATAATATTGTCCTCAAAATATTGTGGCTGAGACATGAGCCGTTTAAACGTAGAAATAGGAAACCTAGAAATACAGTAAAAACGCTGAATAGTACTCCAGCGTCGCGACATGCCGACGTTGGTACGAGTAGGTTAAGTCTACAAACGTCGCCTAAAGTAATTGATTTTACTAGCTACATCAAGCTAGCCAACAATCTGCCAGCCAACAACAAGCCAGCCCACAATTCCAGCCAACAATAAGATAAGATACGATCGCGTTGGACTGCAGATTTCACTATTTACTTCACTGTGTGTGCGGCCGCGAAATTAGCGATGTTTTTCAAAACAGCACAAATTCTTCAATCCAATGGCCACGGCTGTGGGAAAAAAGTGCGGATGGCGGGGAAGGAGATGGGGGAGGGGTAGGGATAATATTAGAGGAGTTGGGAAATGTGTATAAGAGACAGGTATAAATGGAAGTTAAAACACACTGA